TTGTAGTAGTGTTGAGGTGGTCAGTCCCAAGCCCCTTTTTTGTAGAAATGTTGAGGTGGTCAGCGATCCCGCCCCTTTTTGTTTAAGTTTTGAGGTGGTCATTCCCCCAGCCTTGTTGTTGTAGTGTTGAGGCGGGAGTCCATCCCGCCTTTATGTAGTAGTGTTTAGGTGGTAGTTCCCCCAGCTGTTGGAGAAATGTTGGGGGGGTGGTCATTCCCCCAGTTCCCGTTTAGTGTGTTGAGGCGGTTTGCCCTCAGGGGTTTTTTGTTAATAGGTTGAGGGGGTGAGGGCCCCCAGTCTTTTGTAGGTTGTGTTGAGGGGGTCCCTCCAAAACAGCCTTTTTGAAATATGTTTTAGGGGGTAGTCCCCCAGCCTTGTTGTTGTATTTTTGAGGTGGTCAGTCCCTCATCTTGTTGTAGTTTAAATTTGAGGTGGGTTTGGTTCCCCCCCAATTTTTGTTGTAGTTTGTGTTGAGGTTTGGTTTTGTCCCCCAGTCCCCTTTTTGTGTAGTGTTGAGGTGGTCAGGGCCCTCAGTCCCTTTTTTTAGTAGTGTTTTTAGGGGGTTTATTTCCCCCCAGTCTTGTTGTAGTAGTGTTTTTAGGTGGCATCCCCCAATCTTGTTGTTTGTATTGGGTTTAGGGGTCAGCCCTCAGTCTTGTTTTTAGGGAGTGTTGAGGTGGTCAGTCCTCGTCCCTTTTTGTAGTAGTGTTTATGTTGTCATCCCTCAGCCCTTTTTTGTAGTAGTGTTGATGTTGGGCAGTCCCTCAGCCTTGTTTTTGTTTGTTGATTGGCAGTCCCTTTAGCCTTTTTGTAGTAGTGTTGATGTTGTAGTCCCCTCAGTCTTGTTGTAGTAGTGTTGAGGGGGTCAGTCCCCCAGTTTGGTAGTAGTGTTGATGTTGTCAGTCCCCCAGCCCTTTTTGTAGTAGTGTTTTAGGGGCATCCCTCTCCCTTTTTGTTTAGTGTTGATGTGGGCCAAATCCTCAGTCTTGTTTAGTATGTTGAAAGGTTGGGCATCCCCCAGTCTTGTTGTAGTAGTTTGAGGGGGGTCATCCCCCATCCCTTTTGTAAATATGTTGATGTTTTCAGTCCCCCCCGCCTTGTTTTATAGTGTTTTAGGTGGTCTCCCCAGCCTTGTTGTAGTGTTAGGTGGCGTCCCTCAGGCCTTGTTGTAGAAATGTTTTTATGTGGTAGTTTCCCCCAGTCTTTTGTAGAGTGTTTTAGGTGGCAGTCCCTCATCTTGTTGTAGAAATGTTGATGTTTTTCAGTTCCCCTCACCTTTTTATTTGTGTTGGGGGTGGTCATCCCTCAGGCCCTTTTTGTAGTGTTGAGGTGGTTCCCGTCCCTCAGTCCCTTTTTGTAGTAGTGTTTTATGTGGCAGTCCCCAGTCTTTTTTGTAAATAGTGTTAGGTGGTTTAGTCCCCAGTCTTGTTTTATAGTGTTGTTTTTGTCGGGCCCTCACCCTTTTTGTTTGTAGTGTTTGGGGGTGGGGCATTTCCCCCAGGGGTTGGTTGTAGTGTTGAGGGGCAGCCCCCCAGCCTTGGGGTTTTAGTAGTGTTGGGGGTGGGGCATCCTTTGCCTTGTTGTAGTTAAATGTTGAGGGGGTCAGTCCCTCACCTTGTTTTTAGTAGTTTTTTAGGGTCAAGGGCCCCCCCCGGGCTTGTTGTAAGTAGTGTTTAGGGGGGGCAGTTTCCCCCAGCCTTGTTGAAGTATTTTTGAGGGGGTCAGCCCCCTTTGCCCTTTTTGTAGTTTGTGTTTTAGGTGGTCCCGTCCCTCACCTAGTTGTAAATTGTGTTGAGGTGGTCAGTCCCCCAGCCTTGTTGTAGTATTTTTTGAGGTGGGGCGTCCCCCAGCCTTTTTGTAGTAGTGTTGGGTGGTCAGTCCCCCCCGTCTTGTTTTAGTAGTGTTGAGGTGGTCAGTTCCCCCCAGCCTTGTTTAGTAGGGTTGAGGTGGGCCCTCCCCTCATTTGTTGTATAAATGTTGAGGGGTCAGGGGGCCCCCCTTCAGTATTTTTGTAAAGTGTTGAGGGGGTCATCCCTCAGCCTTGTTGTAGTAGTTTTTGAGGGGTCCCCATTTAGCCTTTTTTGTAGTAGTGTTTTAGGGGTCAGTTCCCCTTTGGGCCCTTTTTTTAGTTGTGTTGAGGTGGGCATCCCCCCCCGCCTTTTTTAGTAGTGTTTTAGTTTGGGGCAGCCCTCAGGGCCCTTTTTGTATTTTGTTTTAGGGGTCAGTCCCCAGCCTTGGTTTTAGTTTGTGTTGGGGGTTGGGCAGTTTCCCCCAAGCCTTGTTTTTAGTAGGTTGAGGTTTGGGCAGTCCCCCCGTCCCTTTTTGTTTGTAGTGTTGAGGTGGTCAGTCCCTCCGCCTTTTTTTTGTGTAGTGTTGAGGTGGGCAGTCCCCTCCCGCCTTGTTTTTAGTTTGTGGTTGGGGGGGGTCAGTCCCTCACTTGTTGGGAGTATTTTTGAGGTGGTCATCCCTCAGCTTTTTTTTAGTAGTGTTGAGGGGGTCAGTCCCTCAGTTTTTGTTGTGTAGTGTTTTTGGGGTTTAGTCCCCCCAGTCTTGTTGTAAATAGTGTTGAGGTGGTCAGGGCCCTCAGTCTTTTGTAGTTGTGTTTTGGGGGGTTTTGGGGCCCTCAGCCCTTTTTGTAGAAATGTTGAGGTGGTTTAGTTTCCCCCAAGGGCCCTTTTTGTAGTTTGTTTAGGTGGTCATCCCTCAGCCATGTTTTTGTAGTGTTGAGGTGGTCCCTCCCTCAGGGCCTTTTTGTAGTAGTAAAAATTGAGGTGGTCAGTCCCTCAGCCTTTTTTGTAGTATTTTGAGGTGGCAGTCCCTCATTTTGTTGTAGTAGTGTTGAGGGGGGTCATCCCGTCAGGGCCCTTTTTTGTAGTAGTGTTGAGGGGTCAGTTCCCCCCCCCGCCTTGTTTTTAGTTGTGTTGAGGTGGGTTTTGTTTCCCCCAGTTTTTGTAGTAGTGTTGAGGTGGTCAGTCCCCCCCAGCCTTGTTGTAGTAGTGTTGAGGTGGTCCCGTCCCTCAGTTCCTTTTGAGAAATTTGAGGGGGGTCAGTTTCCCCCAGGGCCCTTTTTGTAGTATGTTGAGGGGGGCAGTCCCTCGCCTTGTTGGGAGTAGTGTTGAAAATGGTCAGTCCAAACACCTTGTTGTAAAATTTGTTTTTTGAGGTGGTCACCTTCCCCCAGCCTTGTTGGGAGTAGTGTTTAGGTTGTAGCCCTCACCTTTTTGTAGTAAGTTTTTTAGGTGGGGCGTTTCCCCCTAGTCTTGTTGTAGTAAATGTTTTGGGGGGGCAAAATCCCCCCCAGCCTTGTTTTATAGTGTTTAGGTGGTCGTCCCCTCAGCCTTTTGTAGTATTTTTGAGGGGGGTCATTCCCCCATTCCCTTTTTGTAGTAAATGTTGAGGTGGTCAGTCCCTCACCTTTTTGAAATGTGTTGAGGTGGTCAGTCCAAACAGTCTTGTTGTGTAGTGGGTTTAGGTGGTCATCCCTTTAGCCTTTTTGTAGAAATGGGTTTAGGGGGTCAGTCCATAATCTTGTTGAGTAGTGTTTTTAGGGGGTCCCTCCATCAGTCTTGTTGTAGAGTGTTGAGGTGGACAGTCCATCAGTCCCTTTTTGAGTAAATGTTGAGGGGTTTAGTCCAACAGTCTTTTTGTAGTAGGTTGAGGTGGCAGTCCCTCAGCCCTTGTTTTTAGGTGTTGAGGGGGTCAGTCCATCAGCCTTGTTTTTAGTAGTGATTGAGGGGGGTCCCGTCCCCCAGCCCTTTTTTTGGGAGTGTTGAGGTGGTAGTCCATCGTCTTTTTGTAGTAGTGTTTTAGGTGGTAGTCCCCCGCCTTGTTTTTAAAAAGTGTTGAGGTGGTCAGTCCCTCAGCCTTGTTTAGTAGTGTTGAGGTGGTCAGGGCCCTCTTTTTGTAGTAGTGTTGAGGTGTCAGTCCCTCAGTCTTGTTGTAAATTTTGGGTTTAGGTGGTCAGTCCCCCCCGCCTTGTTGTAGTAGTGTTGAGGTTTTTTCCCTTTCCCTCAGGCCCCTTTTTGTAGTGTGTTGAGGTGGGGCTCCCTCAGCCCTTTTTGTAGTAGGTTGAGGGGGTCGTCCCTCAGCCTTGTTTAGTAATGTTTTTTGGGGGTCATCCCTCAGCCTTGTTGTAGGGAGTGTTGAGGGGGGTCAGCCCTCACCTTTTTGTAGTAGTGTTGGGTTTGGGCAGGGCCCCCCAGCCTGGGTTTAGAGTGTTGAGGTGGTCAGTCCCTCAGCCTTGTTGTAGTAGTGTTGAGGTGGTCAGTCCATCAGCCTTGAAAAGTATTTAGTTCCACATTTTTGAACAGCTGAAGAAGTTTTCTCTGTAGGCGAAACATTTCGCAAACAAAGGTACCTAAGTGCTGCTCATGTGCCTTAGCTAAGCAGCTGTAATAAATCACAAATAACACAATCTCTGGAAAGGGAACTTTAGACAACATTTCGTTCCTTCCCTTCACCATTATCAAGTCACAATCGAGTGAATGAGGAAAAAAAATATGAGAATTTCTTCAGTAGTCACCCTTACGCAATTTACAAATGTTTTCTCTCGTTTATTTAACCTATTTTAAAATCTGTCCACCTTTCAAGGAGGGTGTCTTGATACTGGTGAAGTTTTCCTGAGTCTAAGAAGTGGAGGCAACCTTCCCTTCCCTCAAACCTCATTCTTTCCCAATCTCCGGGTGCTGTATAACTCCTACGGGTTTATTGCTTCTCTGTAGTCAGTAATATATCTCTGGTCAACACTCACTTTCCGGTCAATGATATTACACCTACTTTAGGGTAAGTTTGTGGGGCTGATTCCATGTATGTCAGTGGTTTTGCTTGATTCTTTCAAGTTTTTGATAAATTTGGTATCCCATTGAAACACCTAAAAGATGTGAAAAATATATTGATTAGGCGGGACTAACTTACAAATCGCATTAAAATTATTTTTAGATCATGCAAAACTCAAATCATGTAATATATACTAGCACTTCAGATTAATGTAATTTGATAATTCAGATACCACTAATTACTGCGTATGAAAACGTTGTACGATTTTCTTCTGTGTTGGTCATCAGCACAGTTGAGTGAGCAGCTGCATATTGGTTACCATTGTGCAGTAAGACACATTTCAAGCTTCTGATGGAGGTGTCTAAAAACAGCCACCAATCTCCTGGTGGGTAATTAAGTCTCATTCGAAGATGACCAGGGATGTTATTGTAGTGTACAAGTTCCTCATCTTGGCTGATGTAAGGAAGGAGTTCAACTTCTCTTGTCTGATAAGCTGCTATTTTAACTTCTTGTTGTAGACAGTTCTTGTCTTTTAGTCTGGATACTAAAAGTTCAGATGCTTGATTTGATAGACAGCTTATTTTGGAGTGGCGCTTGGATAACAAGACAAGTCTTGGACTCCCCATATGGTTTGCAAAACCTGTGTAGAATGCTTACCGCACTGGAAAAATAGGTATAGGAAAAGTTTACCTATGGTGTGGAAAGAGCCGAAAAGCTACCTCGACGATAGTTTTTTCTGTATGGTGAATGTAAAAGGTTTCAGTCGATACAAGAAAGTCAAGTGAGAATATCCTGATTTGGAATCAGCAAGAAGACCTGCACCACACAGTGAAGACATTATCATACCAGTGTTTACAACACTGCCTGACCGTTCCTTGTCAGATGTTGAAGAAACTCAGGGTTCAGGATGTAACACAGGTGACAGCAGTGGAAGTGAATATGAAGTAAGCATTTCAACACCCCAGCAGTTCTCAAAGAACTCAGTGATCTGATATGTGACCTCTGTCAGATCAAGCATCTGAACTTTTATCATCCAGACTAAAAGACAAGAACTGTCTACAACAAGCTTATCAGACAAGAGAAGTTGAACTCCTTCCTTACATCAGCCAAGATGAGGAACTTGTACACTACAATAACATCCCTGGTCATCTTCGAATGAGACTTAATTACCCACCAGGAGATTGGTGGCTGTTTTTAGACACCTCCATCAGAAGCTTGAAATGTGTCTTACTGCACAATGGTAACCAATATACATCTATTCCAATTGCTCACTCAAATGTGCTGATGAACAAATCGTACAAACAACGTTTTCATATGCAATAATTAGTGATATCTGAATTATCATACTACATTAATCTGTTATTATATAGAATGAAGTGCTAGTATATATAACATGATTTGACTTATGCATGATCTAAAAATAATTCCAGTGCGATTTGCAAGTTAGCACCGACTGATTAATATGTTTTTCACATCTTTATAGGTTTTTCAATAAGATGCCAAATTTATCAAAAATTTCAGTTGATCAAGCAAAACCGACGATATATTTCGAATCACCACCACAAACGTACCCTAAAATATCTGTAATATCATTGACCTGAAAGTGAGTGTTGACTAGTGAATTAATAATAATAATAATAATAATAATAATAATAATAATAATAATAATAATAATGATAATAATAATAATAATAATAATAGTGTGACTGACCTGTAATCATGTTGAGTGGGATGTGACCTACACCGTAGCCAGTGACTGTGCAGGTGTGAGAGGGGAAGACTGCATCCTGCTGTGCCATACACACCAGACACACGTTGTCACTCAGTGTAGCCTGCCCCTGTAGCCGTACCACACCTGTGTAATATACCACTGGTGTAACATTACTGTGATAACACCCGTGTAACACCATACGTATCTATCACAACGGCGACAGGAAACCTGTACAATACATGAGTGACGTCAGCTGTCTATCAATAGTGCCAACACTCGTGGAACTCAACAATAATAAACAGCTGTCCATCACAAGTGACACCTGTCACAACAGTGGTAGCACATGCATGTTGCCATGCATGTATTATACGGACTAACACCTACACGTTGCACTGGATGTTGGCACACTTCAGACAGCCACACATAACAAGCCATGGTAGGTCCTCACATTTAGTAATTATCTAGTCACGTGAACAAATTATTTAATAATTTAATTATTTTGCATTAATTTATTTATATGTTATATTAAAATAATTTGTTATCAGACTCTTACCTATGTTTGGCCTCTCAAAATATCGTAATTTAGATATTTGTATATTGATTTTATCGTAATTAATAACTAATGTGGTTTATATTTTACAGATTAACAATACAATAAATGCTATAAGTTTGGTCCCTCTCAAAGGTTCCTTGATTTTGGAGATGAGCTCTTGATCTAAGGAATTGAACTCCTTGAATCATGCCTGAATGCCTTCTATTTCCCGAGGCACTGTATGACCCCTATGGGTATAGTGTTCCCCTCATGAATGTAATAATAATAAAACAACAATAATAATAATAAAATTTTGGTCACAAAACCGTAAGTAGAATATCAGACTAGGTATTAACTGGTTCATTACCAAATCTGTACCAGCTGAGTTACTGTTTTTTTCTAGATGGGCGACTTAGCGGTCGTTAATAGCAGTTAACAGTCTCTTAACGCCTGTTATCAGCTGTCGAGCATACAATGAAAGTTCTGATGATTTACACTCTTCTACTTTGTTTAAATGAGATCTCTAAATTGAAGCACAGACAGAGGACTGGCGCCATACGGCATAAGCTGTTAGTGCCCCTATAAACCCACAACACTAGGGAAGTCAGAGAACTGTTGCCTGACTGACTGCTAGCCGGTACTAGACTGCCAGGGTTTAGCTCATACGGGAATTCGACATTCTACATTTTTGGCCATTTTACAACGGCTCTGGTTTCCACGTAAACTTTCAGGTCCATATTCTGCGTACTACGAATGCTTTTCTGCGCACAACGGGAAGTTGGGTACTATTTTAACGTTAAATGAATGACCAGGGATGTTATTGTAGTGTACAAGTTCCTCATCTTGCATTGCAAGGCTCATACGGTATGAGCTTTCGTAGTCCCTAAAAAGCAGCAACAGCATTGGTAACAACACAGGTTCAGTAATGTAAACTTGAGTGTGTTAACCAGCCCTAGCTGATCCTAACTGATTTAATAACTACTTAGTAGTAGTTGAGGTATTATAGCTGTTGCATATAATCGTTTATGACTTACGAGTAAAATAAATTAATTTATATATATATATGTATATATAAAATATTATATATTATATATATATATATATATAATATATATATATATATATATATATATATATATATATATATTATATATATATATATATATATATATATATATATATAATATATATATATATAAAATTATTATATATAATATATATATATATATATATATATATATATATATATAATATATATATATATATATATATATATATATATATAAGGTTTAATGTATAAATGATTATTAAGGTAGTATGTATAAGGTAATTAGAGGTTTGTTGGCAACCATAATAAGTTGTGATCATTTAATGCATAACTTTCAGGATTGATAAAGTGCTTGTCAACTTATTTTTGAAAAGTTATTTGGATAAATTAGGGTACATTTTTATAAATTTTCATAATAAATTATTGTAAACTTATTTTTCAGTCATTGTGTCTGATTAACATCTGTTAATGTCTTCTGATTTGTAAGTATTCTTATTTATCTATTTATTGTTTCATCATTATCACTTTATTACAGGGCAGTTCGCCCTCTTCGAAATTTTCACGGTCATGTCATTTTCATTATCATGTCATGGTCATGTCATTTTGTATATTTTTATTGACATTTATACTACCTAAAAGTATTTTCATGATGTTATTGTGTTATCTGAGTGTAGGTGTTAGTGTGTGTAGCAGTGGAGGCTCGAACCTCAGTCCTGTAACATGGTAGCAGAGACTGCCCTAACCCAGCCATGGTAGCTGTCTTGTGGGAATTACAATAGACTATTTTAGTGCGTTTTTTTTAAATGTAATTGAAAAAGTAGATACAAAAACCGGATAAGTTTTTTGGACATGCTCTTCAATATTTTCCAGCTGTATTTACAACAAAATACCACAGTATATAGAGGCGGTTTTTAAGGGAGGTTACTGTACGAGTGCAACCTTGAGATAGTGGGAGACAAGAGAGCTGTCTCCTCCTTGTTGATCCTCACTCAGAGTTCCGTCACTTTATATAGTCTTCATAAATTATTCACTTGGGACAGTGACTGGCTGGGATCTTGCATCTGATTTTCGTTGTTATTTACGTGTGTTAAACTGAAGAGGATTAATTCATATAATGAGGCGATACAGTGTGTTTAAGAGAGAGAGAGAAAGAAAGGCACTTAACTGGTTAATGTAATTTAAAGGGTATTGGCTACACTTGCGTCATTAAGGCTCCGCGGTAACATTCTCACCACTACACAAGAATATTTTAATACCTAAAGTAGGAATTAAATTAAACTCTCAGCATATTTACGCTGAGAGAACTACGCCTCTCAGTGCATATATCTTGTATCTGAGGTGATTGTTATAAATTGTTAGTTTGTGGGATTGTTCCATGACATACTGTAACACACTGCCTTGTTAATGTTATGGTGATGTCCACAAACTGTGGGGAAGGTTGTTAATGTTATAGTGATGTCCACAAACTGTGGGGAAGGTTGTTAATGTTATGGTGATGTCCACAAACTGTGGGGAAGGTTGTTAATGTTATAGTGATGTCCACAAACTGTGGGGAAGATTGTTAATGTTGGGGTGATGTCCACAAACTGTGGGGAAGATTGTTAATGTTATAGTGATGTCCACAAACTGTGGGGAAGATTGTTAATGTTGGGGTGATGTCCACAAACTGTGGGGAAGATTGTTAATGTTATAGTGATGTCCACAAACTGTGGGGAAGATTGTTAATGTTGGGGTGATGTCCACAAACTGTGGGGAAGATTGTTAATGTTATAGTGATGTCCACAAACTGTGGGGAAGATTGTTAATGTTGGGGTGATGTCCACAAACTGTGGGGAAGATTGTTAATGTTATGGTGATGTCCATGCACCTCATGCACCAACATGTTAAGGACACTACCAGAGTGAGAGGGGAGGATGAACCAGCAAGATTGTTAATGTTATGATGATGTCCACAAACTGTGGGGAAGGTTGTTAATGTTATAGTGATGTCCACAAACTGTGGGGAAGGTTGTTAATGTTATAGTGATGTCCACAAACTGTGGGGAAGGTTGTTAATGTTATAGTGATGTCCACAAACTGTGGGGAAGGTCTCCTGACTATTGTTAAAGTTACTGTTGCTTCTGTTGTTATTGCTGTTGTTCTATGTCAGGATAACGTCTCCAGATGTGGGTGTTACAGGTGTTGTTATTAATGTTATTGTAGCTGTTCGTTATGTTCGTTCTGTACAACGAACAACTGTTGTTGTAGTTGTTGATATTCGTCAGGATAACGACTTATATCACACACACACACACACACACACACACACACGAAACATGGAGAGCCAGGATGTTGGACGTGGTGCTGGAAAACCTCATGCACCAACATGTTAAGGACACTACCAGAGTGAGAGGGGAGGATGAACCAGCAAGATTGGACCTTGTGTTCACCCTGGGCAGCTCAGACATTGAGGACATCAAGTATGAGAGTCCCCTAGGAGCTAGCGACCACGTGGTTCTGTGCTTTGAATACATAGTAGAGCTGCAAGTGGAGAGAATAACAGGAGTTGAATGGGAAAAGCCTGACTATAAAAGAGGGGACTACATAGGGTTGAAGAACTTCCTGCGGGAGGTCCAGTGGGACAGAGAACTGGCAGGAAAGCCAGTAAATAAAATGATGGAATATGTAACAACAAAATGCAAGGAGGCAGTGGAAAGGTTTATTCCCAAGGGCAACAGTAACAACGGGAAGACCAGAACGAGCCCCTGGTTTACCCGACGGTGTAAGGAGGCAAAAACAAAGTGCAATAGAGAATGAAAAAAGTACAGAAGGCAGAGAACACACGAAAATAGGGAGACCAGTCGCAGAACCAGGAATGAGTATGCACAGGTAAGGAGGGAGGCCCAGCGACAGTATGAAAATGACATAGCATCGAGAATCAAGACTGACCCGAAACTGTTGTATAGCCACATCAGGAGGAAGAAAAACAGTCAAAGACCAGGTGATCAGATTAAGGACAGAAGGTGGAGAAACTCACAAGAAATGATCAGGAGGTATGTGAGGAGCTGAACAGGATTTAAGGAAGTTTTTACAGTAGAGACAGGAAGGGCTGTGGGAAGACAGCACAGAAGGGAACATCAAGAGGGAATATACCAACAAAGTGTTGGATGACATACGAACAAACTGAGGAGGAGGTGAAGAAGCTTTAAGTGACCTTGACACCTCAAAGGCGATGGGATCGGACATCTCCCCATGGGTCCTTAGAGAAGGAGCAGAGATGCTGTGCGTGCCTCTAACCACAATCTTCAACACATCCCTTGAAACTGGGCAACTACCGAGAAATGGAAGACAGCTAATGTAGTCCCCATATTTAAGAAGGAAACAGAAACGAGGCACTAAACTACAGACCTGTGTCTCTGACATGTATTGTGTGCAAAGTCATGGAGAAGATTATCAGGAGGAGAGTGGTCGAACACCTGGAAAGGAACAAGATTATAAATGAAAACCAGCATGAGTTCATGGAAGGCAAATCTTGTATCACAAACCTCCTGGAGTTTTATGACAAGGTAACAGAAGTAAGACACGAGAGAGAAGGGTGGGTAGATTGCGTTTTCCTAGACTGCAGGAAGGCCTTTGACACAGTTCCTCACAAGAGATTAGTGCAGAAGCTGGAGGATCAGGCGCATGTAAAAGGGAGGGCACTGCAATGGATAAGGGAATACCTGACAGGGAGGCAGCAACGAGTCATGGTACGTGAAGAGGTATCACAGTGGGCGCCTGTTACGAGCGGGGTCCCACAGGGGTCAGTTCTAGGACCAGTGCTTTTTTGATATATGTGAACGACATGATGGAAAAGGAATAGAAATCTGAAGTGTCCCTGTTCGCAGATGACGCGAAGTTGATGAGAAGAAAATTAAATCGGACGAGGATGAGGCAGGACTGCAAAGAGACCTGGACAGGCTGGACATGTGGTCCAGTAACTGGCTTCTCGAATTCAATCCAGCCAAATGCAAAGTCATGAAGATTGGGAGGGGCAAAGAAGACCGCAGACAGAGTATAGGCTAGGTGGACAAAGACTACAGACCTCACTCAGGGAGAAAGACCTTGGGGTGACCATAACACCGAGCACATCACCGGAGGCACACATCAACCAAATAACTGCTGCAGATACGGGCGCCTGGCAAACCTGAGAATAGCGTTTCCGATACCTTAATAAGGAATCGTTCAAAGACACTGTACACTGTGTATGTTAGGCCCATACTGGAGTATGCAGCACCAGTCTGGAACCCACACCTGGTCAAGCACGTCAAGAAGTTAGAGAAAGTACAAAGGTTTGCAACAAGGCTAGTCCCAGAGCTCAAGGGAATGTCGTACGAGGAAAGGTTAAGGGAAATCGGACTGACGACACTGGAGGACAGAAGGGTCAGGGGAGACATGATAACGACATACAAGATACTGCGGGGAATAGACAAGGTGGACAGAGATAGGATGTTCCAGAAAGGGGACACAGGGACATGGGGTCACAACTGGAAGCTGAAGAATCAGACGAGTCACAGGGACGTTAGGAAGTATTTCTTCAGTCATATCCTACGGGTTTAGCGCTTCCCCCTTGATTATAATAATAATCTTCAGTCATAGAGTCGTCAGCAAGTGGAATAGCCTAGCAAGTGAAGTAGTGGAGGCAGGAACCATACATAGTTTTAAGAAGAGATATGACAAAAGCTCAGGGAGCAGAGAGAGAGAGGACCCAGTAGCGATCAGTGAAGAGGCGGGGCCAGGAGCTGAGTCTCGACCCCTGCAACCACAGTTAGGTGAGTACAATTAGGTGAGTACACACACACACACACACACACACACACACACACACGAAGTTTCACTCGCATTCTCTGTCTTACTCATTCAGATTCACACTATCCCACTCACACAGTGACTCTCTCACCTATATCATTAGCACTGACCCACTTATATCATTAGCACTGACTCATATCATTAGCACTGACTCACTTATATCATTAGCACTGACTCACCTATATCATTAGCACTGACTCGCTTATGTCCTTTGCACTGATTCACCTGTATCATTAGCACTGACCCACTTATATCATTAGCACTGACTCACTTATATCATTAGCACTCATATCATTAGCACTGACCCACTTATATCATTAGCACTCATATCATTAGCACTGACCCACTTATATCATTAGCACTGACTCATATTATTAGCACTGACCCACTTATATCATTAGCACTGACTCATATTATTAGCACTGACCCCCTTATATCATTAGCCTGACTCTATTATTAGCACTGACCCACTTATATCATTAGCACTGACTCATATTATTAGCACTGACCCACTTATATCATTAGCACTCACTTATATCATTAGCACTGACCCACTTGTATCATTAGCACTGACTCACCTATATCATTAGCATGAGCGCCGCCGGAGGTGAGGTAGTAGGGTGAGTACCCACCTGCCGTGAGTGAAACCAATACAAAGGCGGTCCCCCCTCAGTTATGTCTCCCAGGATACCAAGTAGGGACAAGGGGGCGAGTGTCCACCCTGTCCGGGACCCCCACAAACTAGTCACACACACAAAATTCACAGAAATATGTTCGAAAATTTTCAGGGGCCCAAACTTCGCCATTTTTCTAGAAATAAAAAACTGGGCGAAATGGTAAGAAAACGTAAAAAAATTTTGGACAAAATTGTTAGAAAAAAGTTATTAAAAAATTTTGTAAACCCAAATTTAGCAAAAATTATAACCAATTATTAAATAAGTTTGAAGCAAGTTATCAAAATGTTATCACGCAAAGTTATCACATTATTAAGCAATTTATTGAAAGGGTTCCCCAGAAGTTATCACACGTATCTGTCAAGTTATTAACAAGTAACCAAAATTTTATCACAAATTACACAAGATACCCAAAAATTATCTGAAGTTATACAACTTATACAACAAGAATTAGAAAGTTTTAAAACAAGTTATATAAATTTTTATCAGTCAAGTTATCACACAAGTTATCAAAAAAATGTTAAAAAAATTATTAAAAAAAAACTTTCAGATGAAAGTGAATAACCCCACTTAGAGAACATAAACTAAAGTGGTAAATGATACAGTAATTATAAAGGGTAAAATTTTTCAGTAACTTACTAAAGTGGTAAAATATACAGTAATTACAAAAAGTGGTAATGAACAGTAATTACAAAAGTGGTAAATGATACAGTAATTACAAAAAGTGGAAAGATCCGTAATTTTATAAAGTGGTAAATGATACAGTAACTTACTAAAGTGGTAAATGATACAGTAACTTACTAAAGTGGTAAATGATACAGTAACTTACTAAAGTGGTAAATGATACAGTAACTTACTAAAGTGGTAAATGATACAGTAACTTACTAAAGTGGTAAGATATAGTAACTTAAAAAGGGGAAAAAAAGATATAGTAATTACTAAATGGAAAATAAAATTTGTAATTAAAAAGGGGAAAATATACTAATTACAAAGTGGTAAAGATATAGTAATTACAAAAGGGGTAAATGATTCAGTAACTTACTAAAGTGGTAAATAAATAGAAAATTATAAAGGGGAAAATGATTCATAATTATTTAAAGTGGAAATTTGATATAGTAAATTACTAAAGTGGTAAATATACAAACTTACTAAAGTGGTAAATGATACCTAATTACTAAAGTGGTAAATGTTTCAGTAAATTTAAAAAGTGGAAAATGATATAGTAACTTACTAAAGTGGTAAATGTACGTAATTATAAAGTGGTAATTGATATTAATTACTAAAGTGGTTAAAGATACCTAACTTAAAAGTGGTAAATGATTAGTAACTTAAAAAGTGGAAATGATTCAGTAATTTAAAAAGGGTAAAATGATACATAACTTACTAAAAGGGAAAAATGTTTCAGTAATTACAAAAGTGGTAAATGATATGAAAATTAAAAAAAATGGAAATGATACAGTAACTTAAAAATGGTAAATGATATAGTAACTTACTAAGTGGTAAATGAACAGTAATTTAAAAAGTGGTAAATTTTTTGTTCTTACTAAAGGGGTAAATGTAAGTAACTTACTAAAGTGGAAAATGTTTTAAAGTAATTCAAAAGTGGAAAGAAATAATTTAAAGTGGTAAATGAATAGTAATTACAAAAAGTGGTAAATGTATGTAATTACAAAAGTGATAAATGAAACCCCAAACTTACTAAGTGGTAAATGATATAGAACTTCAAAAGTGGTAAATGATATAGAACTATAAAGTGGAATGATACAGTATTACTAAAGTGATAATAAACAAAATTTACTAAAGTGGTAAAGAAATACGTAACTTACTAAAGGGGAAAATGTTACAATAATTTACTAAAGTGGTAAAGAATAATAAGAAACTTACTAAAGTGGAAATGATATAGTAACTTAAAAAGTGGTAAATGTTGTAATTACAAAAGTGGTAAATAACAGTAATTACTAAAGTGGTAAATGTATAGTACTTACAAATGGAAAATGATATAGTAACTTATAAAGTGGAAAATGATATAGTAACTTACTAAGTGGTAAATGTTGTAACTTACTAAAGTGGTAAATGAATAGTAATTAAAAGTGGTAAAAGATATAGTAACTTACAAAAGGGGTAAATGATATGAAAAACTTCTAAAGGGGTAAAGATATAGTAACTTACAAAAGGGGTAAATGATCCGTAACTTACTAAAGTGTAAATGATATAGAAAATTATTTAAAGTGGTAAATGAATAAAAATTCCTAAAGTGGAAAATGATACAGTAACTTCTAAAGTGGTAAATAAAATTAGTAACTTACTAAATGGTAAATGATATAGTAACTTATAAAGGGTAAAGGGAACACTAACTTACTAAATGGAAAAGATACAATAATTATAAAGTTTAAATGTACATAATTCTAAAGTGGAAATGTACAATAATTTAACTAAAGTGGTAAATGATACAATAACTATACTAAATTTGGGAAAAGAATAAACGTAATTACAAAGGGGGAAAATAAAACAATAACATAAAAGGTAAATATACAGAAGTTAGAAAAAGTGTTTTAAGAGAGTTGTGGGTATCATTGAGAAAAGGTTTTGTACCTTGCAGTGCTGTTAAAACACAACCCTGATTTGTGGGTACATGAGCGGGTTTTTTTGTCCCTTGCAGTTAGTGAAAAAACACAACGTGATTGTGGGTATCAGTGGCAGGTTTATGTATTGCAGTTATGTTTAAAAAAAACCGTGGTTTGGGTATCATGAGAAGGTTTTTAGTATTTTCAGTTAGGTTAAAACACAACGCTGAGTTGTGGGTTCAGTGAGCAAGGGTTTATTTTCCCTTGCAGTGATGTTAAAAACACAACGCTGAGTTGGGGTATCATGGCAAGGTTTTAGTACCTTTGCAGTTAGTGTTAAAAAAAGCGAGTTCCCCCGTTAAACTCGATAAATTTTCCCCAGTTGCTTCTTCACCGAGGTCTTTCTTTAAAACTCACCACTCCGGTATACACAGAAAACCCCCGCAGTCCAGAGCGAGATTCGACGAGTTTCGGCCCGCTTGAATAGAGACCGTCAGAGAAGATATTATTACTATTTTTGCGTCGCCCGGGTTTGTAAGTTGTAAAGCTTAATTTAATACTGGGAAAAGAATATGAAAATTTATGAGCAAAGAGGGTTAAAAGGGAAAGGCTCAAACCCGCGGTTCGAGGTTTGAGACTTAAACGCCTTACCTTAGTAACTCAGGTCGTAATAAAGAATTGGAGGTAATCCCGTTTTACTTCCCGTCGAGGCACCAACTGTAACCAATTGTATATATATAAAATATTATAAAAATTATATATTTTTTAAATATATATTAATTTTTTATATTTATATATATATATTATATATTATAATATATATGTCGTGCCGAATGGGCAGAACAAAATTTTTGAAAAGTATTTAAAATATGTAGTTGGGTTAGGCAAAAAAATTGCTCTTTTTTATAAAGATTAGGAAAATTTTTCTAAGATTTTTTTTGGTGCAAAATTAAAAAAAATTGCTTAACATTAATAAAAAAATATTCTTTAAACGTATAAGAGAAAAATTTGAAAGGACTAATTTTTAAAATTTTTTGCTAATTGACCGTTTTGCATATTCTGCACGACATATATATTATATATTAATATATATATATATATATATATATAAATTTTATAAATATATTTTTATAAATATTTATTTTATAAAATTTATAAAATTTGGGGTGTGTGTTTGTGTATACAGTAAGATAATGATGTAAAATCAGGTGAGAAAAGTATTTAATTACTTTGTATTTCACGCACCACGCGTGTCCCCGGTATTATATTGGGCTTTAAAAGCTCCCAGCCCCCGAAATGTAGCCCATCACAAAAACTTCAAATGTGTTTATTTCCTAAACTGATTGTCATACAAAACTATGAATATTATCTCTATTCTTGAATAGACAAAATACACAAGTACTGGGGCCACCTCGGCAAATCCAAAGGTATTGATTTCCCTTGGCAAAATCAACCCGGATTGAATCTTTACCTCTGACAACATCAATAGGTACTGGGGAAATTTCACCCCTTTGGGACTTACACAGGTACTGGAATCTTCACCCCCTTTACAACACACATAGGTACTGGGTCTTCCCTTGGAACATACACAGGTACTTGAACTTCACTTGAAACTCACAAAAGGGATGGATCTTCACCCTGGGAACAACAAGGTATTGAAGATTCACTCTGACACCTCAAAGGGACTGAAATCTTACCCTTTAACCATCAACAGGTACTGGAAACCTTTTCCTTGACACCATCAAAAAGGTAGGAATCTTCACCTCTGCCCATACACGGGGACTGGAATTTACTCTGAAAACCATCCCGGTACTGGAAACTTCACCTCTGACACCCTACCAGGTACTGGAATTTTCACCCCTTTACACCTCACCAGGTATGGAATCTTACCTTGACCCATCACCAGTACAAAAATCAAGTCATTTCTGCTGCCCCAAAATTTTACAACTTCAGCTTGAATTGGTCCCTTCAAGGGAGTTCTGTTACCCTGGGAAGGGGTCTTGTTCGGAAAAACTGATTGTGCTGGTTTCCCCAAAATGAGCCTGAATGCCTTCCATCCCCCCCCCCCCACAGACGCTTTTTCCTACGGGTTTAGGGTTCCCATAAAAACAGCAAATTCACATGTAATCAGACGGCCTCTCGTGTTTTTAAATTGACAGTGTCCTTTATTGACCGAAAAAAATTTGGGGCTCTAAAGGGAGATGCTTGAGAATGTAGTTTGTGTGTTTTTAACTTTGTGTAATTTTATTTGACGCACAGAAGATTCCCTGTTAAAGAGACAAGTTCAACGTAGGTAATTTTGATAAGGTACTAGGAGAGAGAAAAGCTGACGAAGTTTTGGTTTGACTTGGACCCTTGACAAAGTAAAAAACATAAAAAAACAAGGGAGCCGTATATATAAAGGGAGAGGGCGGACGGGACCCCGAAGGAAAAAAAAGAGTAGGTTTTTGGGTATAAAATAATATGGTTTGTTTTTTGGTATTGTTTTTTCACGGGATTGTGCCATTTTGTTCTTTAAAAAGGGTTACTTCACCCGTCAGGGGCTTTATTAACCAAAATTGAGAGTAAAAATTCTGATTAAATAGTGTGAGGTGAGATGGCAGAGGGGTGTTGCAGCTCTGGGGTACTTATGTCAATGTCCTACGGCAAAAATAAAATTTCCCAAAATTTGGAAAAAATTTTTGTTCCCCCTTTTTTGTAATTGCTAAGCTCTTTAGAAGGTAATTAATTATAAAAAAGGGTTTTTAATAAAAAAAGTGTAACTTTTTCTGTCAAGAGCTAAATTATTCGTTATTTATCTCCTAATTCACCCTAAAATGAAATAAATAATTTAAAATAAAAAATTATAGACAAAAAACCGGGGGTAGGGGGGGGGGGCATAAAACTGACCCCCTGAACAAGTTTGTGGAAAATGCGAGGGTTTGGTCAACCAGGCTCCGAACACACGTCTTGTGCCCCCCTTGGTTCTTCCCTGATGGCTGTACCGCCCACTCCAAGTGGTTGTACCGTCCACCCCAAAACCCGGTGAGGCTGGGATCCCAAACATCCACCAACATTTATAAAACCCGCCCGGGACCTACAGCAGTAATTGACGCCCTTGAACTTAAAAATGTTTTTAAAATCTTGACGGCTCTTGGGTGGTTCAAGAGTTTGCTAAATGGCTTATGGGGGTCAAGTTTATCGTAAAGATTTTTAGTATGAATTTGCTACTTTTAAAAAGTATTGGGGTGGGAGAAACCCCGTTCAGGGATCTCTAAGCGATGCACTTAGATAATTTGACAATGTTTTGATAGGGGAAACATCATCGAGGAAACCCTTTGGACTAACCTTGATGTTTGAATATTGTGTATAATGGAGTGTTGAAGAGAACTCCTGTAGTTTGAGTTTAGATAGTAGTCGAGGTGACCTGGTTAATGTGGATGCTTTATTGATCTACTTAATATGAGGATAAAAAGTCAGGATATTGTGGAACACATGTTCAACGAGCTGGGGTATCTAAGGGGTTTGAACAAATTATGTACGAAAACCTTGTTATTAACATTTTATATTTTCAATATGGAGTTGGTCCTCAATTTGCAGCTAAAACAGCACCAATTCGTCGAGGAATTAATTCATATAACATTTGAATAATATCTACGGGAATTTTGTGTCATTCCTCAAGCCAAACTTGATCTAACTCTTTCAAAGACTACAGTGCAGGAAATCACTTCCTGACTTGTTGTTCCAATTGATCTCACGACGCTCCATAATGTTCATATCCGGTGACTGTGGAGGCCAATCCAAGTGTTCGACTTCACTTTCGTGTTCTTCATCAGAACCAGTTGTTGAATATTAAAATGGTATACAATACCGACAGAATGATAAGAAAGAGACACACGCAACAGCTAGGTATCTTTATTCCGAAACGTTTCGCCTATACAGTAGGTGAAACGTTTCGGAATAAAGACACCTAACTGTTCCACGTGTGCTTTCTTAACACCAGCTGTTTGTAGGCTGAGGGACTGATTACCTCATCTTCCACTGTCTTCACATATCATCTCTGTATTGAACTGTTAATGCCACTGGTCTTAAGAAACGTTTTCACATAGATAACCAAGAGTTGCGCATGTGTTTAATTATTTATAGAAGAACGTTCTAGTACCAGGGACGTCAATACTTCTTTTGTTTTTTGCAGCCTTCATGACTCATACAGGTTTAGCCATTGTTTCGCAATATACTAATATTAATAATTTTGTTTCTTTGAGTCTGTCAGAAAGTGGTAAAGACCTCTTCTCTGGCAGAGTGCCACTTTCCTCCCAGAGTGCCACTCTCACAGAATGCCACTCTCCTCACAGAGTGCCACTCTCCCCACAAATTGCCACTCTTCCCACAGTGCCACTCCTCACAGACTGCCACTCTCCCCACAGACTGCCACTCTCCCCACAGACTGCCACTCTCTCACAACTTGCCATATCTTTCTGCATAAATGGAGAAGATATTTTCCCTTTCGTTTAGATTTTCTGACAATGCACAGAACGAGTTATATATATCAGTTACAGAATATAAAAGAAAACAATAGTTTTCTTGCTTTGTGATTATAATTAATGTAATATGAAAGTGAACTGATAATGACAGTGGCAAGTTGATAATGATATATTATTTTATAATGTTAGAAATGGAATGTTCAAAGTTGTGATTAACCAAACGGTTCAAGAAGCTTGTAAAAACAAATAGTGGAGTGTGCAAGAGGAGCAAGAAATAAAGTAAACATCAGTAGTAGAAGTGGAGGGAAGTGGTACTAAAATGTATTAGTTGGAATTAAAGTATTACTCACGTAGTTTCTGAGTCCCTTGAAGCCACAGATGTTTTGGTTGACTGGTTGTAACAAATGGTGATCCGGGAAGTGACTGTAATAGTCGTACTCTGCATCATCACTCACAACTGCACCCTCCCCACCTACCACGTCAGGCATGTCCTCGCCCACACCCACCACTTCAAGCACCTCCCCGCCCACACCCACCACCTCAGGCACCTTTCCCTCACTCTCACTCGCTGTTTCCCCCACACTATCATCAATTATTTGGCCTGCATCATGTGCCTGTGACACCGACGGTGTGGACTCCCCATCTTTTGACTCCGTCACCTGTGTGGTGTCCCCTCCCTCGTCTGTTTCTGAGTCCCCAGCTGGTACCATTATCTCTGCTACTTCCTCCAAGGCTTGTGTCTCTCCCACAACAGTAGAGTCGTTCTTGAAAGACTCCTGAGGGAAAACTATGGCGTTCATGTCGTCGGTGATGTCCAAGGAAGGAGGCCGTGGTGTCCCGTCTGAAAGTACCAACTCCGTCAGCGCTTCCGTCACGTTTTCTGCAGCTGTTGTCTTCCCTCCAACGGAAAGTTTGTCCAGGAAGGGAAAATGAGGAAGAAAGATGACATTCATATTGTCAGGGTGATTGTGGGTGGGAGGTGGTGGCAACTGTGTGGTGAGGGTGGGCATCTGTGATGATGTTGTGAGGGTGGGCATCTGTGATGATGTTGTGAGGGTGGGCATCTGTGATGCTGTGGTGGACTGAGTGGTGACGGTGGGCAGCTGTGATGTAGTGTGCGTGATGGTGGTGGCGTCTGCTACGGTGATGTGGCTGCCATCCTGATCCATTACGGACGGTTCCTGCAGTTCTGAAGGCAGCTCGTGGTAGCTGTCCGTCGCTGTGCTCACCTGCAAACAAACTTTGCTTTATTTATTATAATCATAAGGAAAAAGATTTTTAGGTACATATGACGTTCATCCCAATTACGATACCTGCCCTAACCTGACCCCTTCCTCCTTAGATGACTTAAATTACGATACCTGCCCTAACCTGACCCCTTCCTCCTTAGATGACTTAAATTACGATACCTGCCCTAACCTGACCCCTTCCTCCTTAGATGACTTAAATTACGATACCTGACCCCTTCCTCCTTAGATGACTTAAATTACGATACCTGCCCTAACCTGACCCCTTCATCCTTAGATGACTTAAATTACGATACCTGCCCTAACCTGACCCCTTCCTCCTTAGATGACTTAAATTACGATACCTGCCCTAACCTGACCCCTTCCTCCTTAGATGACTTAAATTACGATACCTGCCCTAACCTGAGCCCTTCCTCCTTAGATGACTTAAATTACGATACCTGCGCTAACCTGACCCCTTCCTCCTTACATGACTTAAATTACGATACCTGCCCTAACCTGACCCCTTCCTCTTTAGGTGACTTAAAAACCGTGGTAAGGTCCTACTCTATAACCAAACAATACCACCCACCTTGATGGGAGTAATATCAAGAGCCCCTCATCTGAGTTGATGGGGAGTAATATCAAGAGCCCCTCATCTGAGTTGATGGGGAGTAATATCAAGAGTCCTTCGCTTAAATTGATGTGGAATATCAAGAGCCTCTCACCTAAATTGATGTGGAGTAATATCAAGAGCCCCTCTCCTAAATTGATGTGGAGTAATATCAAGAGCCCCTCACCGATCTCTAATAACTTTAAGGTTGGGTATCAGTGCTGAAGGGCTCTTGGTCAAAGAAATTGGAGCTAACTTTCTCTTACTTGGATCAAACCTCATGATCTCACACTCCCCAAATGTTCTTTGGAACCTACAGTCTTAGCGCTTCCCAGTGATAACTATGAGACTCGTAGCACAAACCTAGAAGACAAATCTAAGATTAGATTCTAAGAAGATTTAGATTATAGAATTAGATTCTATGTATTTAGATTCTATAAAAATAAATTATGAACGTTTAGATTTTGAAGATTTAGAATCTATACATATTTTGATCCTATACATTTAGATTCTATAAAAATATTCTAAAGATTTAGATTCTAGAGATACAGATTCTAAAAATTTAGATTCTGTTTTGATCCTATATATTTAGATTCTATAAAAATATTGTAAATATTTAAATCTAGATATTCAGATTAAAAAAAAAGATTCTAAAGATTTAGATTTTAGAGATTCAAAATCTTAAAATTTAGATTCTAGAGTTTCAGGTTCTAAAATTTAGATTCTAAAAATTTAGATATTCAAAATCTAAAAATTTAGATTCTAGAGTTTCAGGTTCTTAAATTTAGATTCTAAAGATTTAGATTCTAGATATTCAAAATAAAAAAATTAGATTCTGGAGATTGAGAGTTTAAAAATTTAGATTTTAAACATTTTAAGTGCTGATTCCCACCTGATCATTATCTGGTTGTTCCGTCTGAGTGTGTGTGTCTGTACCGTGGGCGTGGGTTGTGGTGGTGGGCGTGGGGGCACGTGTGGGCAGGGTACCCGTCCATGGGCGTGTCACCAGACCCAAGATACCCGTGAGGTCAGTAACCACACCCACGATGTCAATAAGGTTCTCTGGGTTCAAGTTGTCATAGTCTATCTCATCCTGGAGGTAGTCAGTCACCAGTCATTATTATTATTAATAACCACTAATAATAACCACTAATAAAATACTATTATTACTACTACTACTACTGCTACTACTAATAATAATAATTAATAAAATGCTACTACTACCAGTAATAATAATCATAATAATGACTAATAAAATAACAATACTACTATTACTACTAATAAAATACTAATAATAATTATAATAATAATTATAATAAATGTGTAGTGGAGGGAAGGCGGGGTAGGGGTCGTCCTGGGAAAGGTTGGAGGGAGGGGGTAAAGGAGGTTTTGTGTGCGAGGGGCTTGGACTTCCAGCATGTCAGGAGCCAGTGGAGGTAAATGGTTTTTATGACTTGTGCTGTTGGTGTGTGAGCAAGGTAATATGTGTCGAAAGAATTCAGGGAAACCGGTTAGCCAGACTTGAGTCCTGGAGGTGGGAAGTACAGTGCCTGCACTCTGAAGGATGGCTGGAGATATCTGAAGTTTTGAACTGGAGTATCGGCGCCGCTCTGGCAAGACAGTGATGGAGTGAATGATGGTGAGAGTGTTTCTTCTTTTTTGGGTCACCCGGCCTCGGTGGGAGACGGTCGGTTTGTTCAACAAAATATTAACGTAAATATACTACTACCAATATTACGTCACAGATAATGTATTAGTCTGATCTGGGAGACTTAAGTGGCACGTAACTGATCTGGGAGACTTAAGTGGCACGTAACTGATCTGGGAGACTTAAGTGGCACGTAACTGATCTGGGAGACTTAAGTGGCACGTAACTGATCTGGGGGGACTTTAATGGCACGTAACTGATCTGGGGGACTTAAGGCGCCTTGGGGCACGTAACTGATCTGGGAGACTTAATGGCACGTAACTGTCTGGGAGCTTAAGGGCACGTAACGATCTGGAGACTTAAGGGCACGTAACTGATCTGGGAGACTTAAGGGCACGTAACTGATCTTTGGGGGACTTAAGGGCACGTAACTGATCTGGGGGACTTAAGGGCCCCTAAACTGACTGGGAGACTTAAGTGGCACGTAACTGATCTGGAGACCCTTTAAAGGGCCCCGTAACTGATCTGGGAGACTTAAGTGGCACGTAACTGTCTGGGAGACTTAAGGGCACGTAACGATCGGAGACTTTAAGAGCAAATAACTGATCTGGAGACTTAATTGCACGTAACTGACTGGGAGACTTAAGTGGCGCGTAACTGATTCTGGAGACTTAAGGGCACTAACTGATCGGGGGACTTAAGGGCACCTAACTGATCTGGGAGACTTAAAGGCACTAACTATCTGGGAGACTTAAGGGCCACGTAACTGATCTGGGAGACTTAAGGGCACGTAAACTGATCGGGAGACTTAAGGGCACGTAACTGATCTGGGAGACTTAAGGCACGTAACTGACTGGGAAAAACTTAAGTGGCCGTAACTGATCTGGGAGACTTAAGGGCACGTAACTGATCTGGGGGACTTAAGGGCACGTAACTGATTTTGGAGACTTAAGGGGCACGTAACTGATCTGGGAGACTTAAAGGGGACGAACTGATCTGGGAGACTTAAGGGGCCGTAACTGATCTGGAGACTTAAGGGCCCGTAACTGATCTGGGGGACTTAAGGGCCACGTAAACTGATCTGGGAGACTTAAGGGCACGTAACTGATCTGGGAGACTTAAGGCACGTAACCCGATCTGGGAGACTTAAGGGCACGTAAACTGATCTGGAGACTTAAGTGCCCCGTAACTGATGGAGACTTTAAATGGCGCGTAACTGATCTGGGAGACTTAAGGGCACGTAACTGATCTGGGGGACTAAGGGCCCGTAACTGATCTGGGACTTAAGGGCCTAAAATGATCTGGGAGACTTAAGGGCACGTAACGATCGGAGCTTTAAAGGGGACGTAACTGATCTGGGAGACTTAAGGGCACGTAACTGATCTGGAGACTTAAGGGCCCCGTAACTGATCTTGGAGACTTAAGGGGGCCGTAACTGATCTGGGAGACTTAAGGGCACGTAACTGATCTGGGAGACTTAAGGGCACGTAACTGATCTGGAGACTTAAGGCACGTAACTGATCTGTGAGACTTAAGGGCACGTAACTGATCTGGGAACTAAGGGCACGTAACTGATCTGGGGGACTTAAGTGCCCGTAACTGATCTGGAGACTTAAGGGGCACGTAACTGATCTGGGGGACTTAAGGGCAACGTAACTGATCTGGGAGACTAAGGGCCCCGTAACTGATCTGGGGGACTTAAGGGGGACGTAACTGATCTGGGAGACTTAAGGGGCAAAGTAACTGATCTGGGAGACTTAAGGGCACGTAACTGATCTGGGAGACTTAAAGGGGGCACGTACTGATCTGGAGACTAAGGCCACGTAACTGATTTGGAGACTTAAGTCACGTAACTGATCTGAGGAGACTTAAGGGCGGTAACTGATCTGGGGGACTTAAGGCCCCGTAACTGATCTGGAGACTTTAAAAGGGGCCCCGTAACTGATCTGGGAGACTAAGGCCCCGTAACTGATCTGGGAGACTTAAGGGCACGTAACTGATCTGGGGGACTTAAGGGGCGCGTAACTGATCTGGGGGACTTAAGGCACGTAAAATGATCTGGGAGACAAGGCCACTAACTGATCTGGGAGACTTAAGGGCACGTAACGATCTGGGAGACTTAAGGCACGTAACTGATCGGGGGACTTAAGGCCCCGTAACTGATCTGGAGACTTAAAGGGCCACGTAACTGATCTGGGAGACTTAAGGGGCACGTAACTGATCTGGGAGACTTAAGGGCCACGTAACTGATCTGGGAGACTTAAGGGCCACGTAACTGATCTGGGAGACTTAAGGGGCACGTAACTGATCTGGGAGACTTAAGTGGCACGTAACTGATCTGGGAGACTTAAGTGGCACGTAACTGATCTGGGAGACTTAAGAGGCACGTAACTGATCTGGGAGACTTAAGTGGCACGTAACTGATCTGGGAGACTTAAGTGGCACGTAACTGATCTGGGAGACTTAAGGGCCACGTAACTGATCTGGGAGACTTAAGGGCACGTAACTGATCTGGGAGACTTAAGGGCCACGTAACTGATCTGGGAGACTTAAGAGGCACGTAACTGATCTGGGAGACTTAAGGGCCACGTAACTGATCTGGGAGACTTAAGGGGCACGTAACTGATCTGGGAGACTTAAGAGGCACGTAACTGATCTGGGAGACTTAAGAGGCACGTAACTGATCTGGGAGACTTAAGGGCCACGTAACTGATCTGGGAGACTTAAGGGGCACGTAACTGATCTGGGAGACTTAAGGGCCACGTAACTGATCTGGGAGACTTAAGGGCACGTAACTGATCTGGGAGACTTAAGGGCCACGTAACTGATCTGGGAGACTTAAGGGCAACGTAACTGATCTGGGAGACTTAAGGGCCACGTAACTGATCTGGGAGACTAAAGGGCCACGTAACTGATCTGGGAGACTTAAGGGCCACGTAACTGATCTGGGAGACTTAAGGCCACGTAAAATGATCTGGGGGACTTAAGGGCCACGTAACTGATCTGGGAGACTTAAGGGCCACGTAACTGATCTGGGAGACTTAAGGGCCACGTAACTGATCTGGGAGACTTAAGGGCCACGTAACTGATCTGGGAGACTTAAGGGCACGTAACTGATCTGGGAGACTTAAGGGGCACGTAACTGATCTGGGAGACTTAAGGGGCACGTAAGTGATCTGGGAGACTTAAGGGCCACGTAACTGATCTGGGAGACTTAAGGGCCACGTAACTGATCTGGGAGACTTAAGGGCCACGTAACTGATCTGGGAGACTTAAGGGGCACGTAACTGATCTGGGAGACTTAAGGGCCACGTAACTGATCTGGGAGACTTAAGGGGCACGTAACTGATCTGGGAGACTTAAGGGGCACGTAAGTTCCCTCGTCTTCTGATAACATGTTCATGTTTCTACCATAATCTACCTTGTCCATTATTACTATCACATCTGCTTTGTCTGTTCAGTAAATTTCTCACCTACGGTGTTCAGTAATTTTCTCACCTGCGGTGTTCAGTAAATTTCTTGATTTACGTTAGTTTTGTGTCAATAATAATTAAGCAAATACAGTACAATACAATGCAGTAAATGAAATATGATAGAAATAATAGAGAGTTGTGACTGTGGAACAAGACTACGACTTCACCAGCGATGAAGCTGAGGGACTGATTACCTCCACTTTGTGTAAAGTAAAAGGACACAAGTACAACTGATGTGACATTTTATTGTGGCCACAATAAAATGTTGCATTAGTTGCACTTGTGTCCTTTTACTTTACTTATTGTGGGTAATTCTACCAACTTTATTACACTACCTCCACTTTTGTATATACTTGTACGACTTATCTTCTTCAATTTGTACTGATAAAGAAAGCCTCTGGATGGCGAAACATCTACAATGAAGATACCCAGATGTTGCACTTGTGTTTAATTTTTATCTGTCGGTGTTGTATACCATTCATGTAGTAACCAGATGTTGCACATGTTTCTTAATTCTTCATCAGGTGTTAGATAATCAAATAATCACTGTTTAAGACTCGTTAAACAGTCACCATTTGATTGTGTTAGCAACAGTGATATACTAACTGTTAAGATGAGTTTATACTTTACCTGCTGTTGCTGGAGGACAGCCTCATCATCAACGAGGGAGAATACGTCAGTGATGGTGAAGGAGGAGAGGGTAGTGGTGGGTAGCTTACTGGTGGCCTTCCCCAGTGGGTTGTACCTGTAACAACAACCATTCTACCTCACTACTGATTATAATGACTTGATATACATAAAGGTAGGGAAGGAGAAGAGAGTGACAGAATAAGTATAATACATATGTTATGAGGGTTAATGAGAAAAGATAATATATCTGGAGATTTCAACGATAGAAAGTAGTGATCCTTATCAGGTCGCTGGAGAGAGAGAGAGACGAACAGCAATAAACCGAATATATAACACAATAGAACCCACATGTGGAGAATAACAGGGAAGATGAGAGTGGTCACAGTGGTGCCTATGCTAACCTTCCTATGGTGTAGAAATATACCTAGTTGGATGAATCTTATTGTGGCTAGCTGGTCCAGTGGCTAACGCGACGGTCTGGAGTTTTGAGACTCTCTGACCGTGGGTTCTATCCCCACCCGTGGTATGTTTTTTTTGCAATCGTGTCATTACGATTTCGTGAGTCAACATGAGAGTGGTGTATATTTCAGCGTAGAAGAATGAGTTTCTTCAGCAGTCTTGAACACCTCAATTGACTCACAGCTAGGTGCCCCGTGGCCTAGTGGCTAAAGCTCTCGCTTCACACGGTGAGTGTCTGGGTTCGATTCCCAGCGAGGGTAGAAACACTGGGCGTGTTTGCTTACACTGGTTGTCTTATGTTCCCCATCAGTAAACTGGGTATCTGGGTGTTAGTAGACTGGTGTGGGTCGCATCCTGGGACAAAACTGACCTAATTTGCGGGAAATGCTCAGCATAACAAGCAGCTTTCTATACAGTAGTATGTCATTGATGTCAGCTATGGTCTGTATACCTTGTACATGTACTGGTAGTAAATAAAGATATTATTATTATTATTATTATTATTATTATTATTATTATAACTAGTGAATAACTGTTATTCCTTCAATGACTAAGAGACAAGTGCAATACTTGGCCATCAGTGAAGGTAACCAAGTGCTGTACATGTATATTATTCATCAGTTTGTCGGTGTTGTATTCCATTAGTAATAAGCTACACGTTTTAACCTCATTCATTGATTATGGCGAGTCTCACAGTCACTTGGCGAGTCTCACAGTCACTTGGCGAGTCTCACAGTCACTTCAGTGATGCTTACATTATATCTTCCTCGGTATTAACAATGAATTCTAATTAAAACAATGTTATTTAATACAGGTATTTGTCGTAGCCAGACATAGCATACCCTGGTATACCAGATGTAGACTTTTTCCTCAAGTATACCTCCCTAGTGTTAATCATCTGTTACCACTAGTACTGTCAGTAACAAGTTAATTGGAAAACCACATTGTTTAAGAACGACAAGGAAAATGTCCTCTACTTATATATATATATATATATATATATATATATATATATATATATATATATATATATATATATATATATATATATATATATATATATATATATATATACAACATATGTTGTGTATCTTTATACGTATATGCTTATAAACTGTTGTATTCTGAGCACCTCTGCAAAAACAGTGATTATGTATGTGGTGAAAGTGTTGAATGATGATGTAAGCATTTTCTTTTTGGGGATTTTCTTTCTTTTTTGGGTCACTCTGCCTCGGTGGGAGACGGCTGACTTGTTGAAAAAAAAATATGTATATATATATGAAGGTGTCGGCTGTTTCAAAAGTCAGGAAAGTTCTGGAGACGGAACTACAACTGTGTTGAGACAAGTGTGATTAATATGAAGGAGACTCAGGTACACTGTTGATGAATATTATAGTTATTATGTGATAATAAGTGGAAAGTAGTATAACAGTATGGATGATACCGCGCCTGGGAGCGGCAGGTAAACAACTTCCATCATGGAGGAATTGAAGAGTGATAGAAAGTTGAGCAGCTGATGCAGATATACTGACAGATACAGTATATGACTTTCAGTGTATGTACACAGAAAGTTTACTTTACTCTGTAATAGAGATATTAAAGTGACGGGTGTGTAGTGGGTAGGGTTAACACCCCATTAACCAGCTGAGTGGTGTTTACCTGTTCCAGGTTCACTGAACTATTCTCCAGCAGTCACTGTGATGAAGGAGTCACACTATTATCACAGTTATAAATCTTATTGCAACGTTCACCGCAGTGCGTTAGTTTCTGCACGATTTAAACTTATCAGAAATTATATTAGGTCAAATATTCGTTAATTAACGTATATTTAAAAGCCAATAAGTGCGGTATACGTCTGACAGCGGAAGACAAAGTCTCAGTAAGGTAATAAACCAGAGATTAAAAAATAATAGACGATAAATAGAGAAGTAGAGAAGGAAAAAGTGAGTAAGGAGGAAATAGCTGAGAACTTGAGTAATGTGGAACAATGAGAGGATAATGAGAGAGGAAGTTAGGTGTCAAGGTGTGTAGAGGTCGTCACCCGTGAGAGAGAGAGAGAGAGAGAGAGAGAGAGAGAGAGAGAGAAGAGAGAGAGAGAGAGAGAGAGAGAGAGAGAGAGAGAGAGAGAGCAGCACCAAACAGCAACTACACTTTGGCTGTAACCTACTCAAGAATATCACTTCATCTGAGATCGTTTATTCCTAGAATGACTCGAGTTTGGAACATGTTCGTACATCAAAACATCAACAAACTAAAATCAACCGACCACATGAAATCGCTGGTTCACATATGACTCCAACCTCATTCCTTTTCATATTTGTATGTCTCATAATAAGGCTTTTAAACGAGCTGAGATTGGTAACAACTCTTAGCTTGTAATATAAGGGACTCTTAACTTAACTCTTGAAAACCTTGTGTAAAAGAGAGACATGTAATGTAACAAGGTACTCACCTCTCTTATCATTGCTGTATTAAATAATGCTAAGGTGTTGTTGGAAAGCAAAAGATTGAAGGAAAAATAGAAGTGAACGTAAACAGGAGGAACAAGAAGAAACAGAGAAGTGAATCAGATGAACAACAAAAATACGAATAAAGAAACAACAATGTAATTACCTGTGTATATTCCTTGCAAGTCGACTTGGAAATGGAATGAAAAAAATGAGGATAAAATCTATAGACGATAGAAAGAGGAATAGACTCATTGTATTTCATTCTCCAGGTCGCTGTATAACCTCTACGCTTTTAATAATAATAATAATAATAATAGTAATAATTAATAGTAATAGTTAATAAAATTAATAACTACTAATAAGATAATAATGACAACCTGCAGCAGACGAAGTCAATGTTGGGCGTGAAGGCATCCCTGAGACCGTAGCAGTGTCCACCTGTCTCATCAGGCAGGAAGTCCACATCCAGGGAACAGTTGTTACCTAGCAGGCAGTAACCTGTGCCGTTGATGCAGGTCCGCACTCCCTGGATTACGAACAGTCCTGCAACACAACACCATAATGTAGCAACACTAGACAGTGTCATGAAACACGGAATGTTGTCATGAGGCACAAAATGGAATGTTATGAAACAACCCCTTAAGGGGGGGGGGAAACACAACCCCTTCAAGGGGGGAACAAAACCCCTTCAAGGGGGGGGGCGAAACACAACCCCTTCAAGGGGCAAGGGAAGTTTTATTGCTAGTGTTGAAGAAACTCTTAACCCAAGGCACTGAACCTCACCCCTTCCTTTAAACACTCCCCAATCTTATCTCCTCCCCCCCCCTCTCTCTCTCTCTCATTCTCTCTCTCTCTCCATTTCACCTCATTAGTGGGGATAGTTTCCCTTTCGTGAAATCCCCGCTCCTAGACAGTGAAAAAACTCCACTATGAGTTTTGTACTAGTGTAACTTCCGTTGGTAGTTCTGCGGTGATGGTGTCAGTCCACTCGGTGGAAAGTGGATCATCTTCGGTCAGGTCAGGAGACTAAGTCAGACAATGGCTGGTCATTTGGCCTGACGTCTGACGGCAGAATTATTGCCAGGGGGTTGACGTCGGATCCAGGAGTGGCAACTCGTAGTGTTTATTCCAGTTTGTCCACTACAACCACTGTAGTCACAACCTCATCACCCACTGACTACAGCCACTAGTCACATCCTCATCACCCACTGACTACTACAACCACTGTAGTCACAACCTCATCACCCACTGACTACTACAACCACTGTAGTCACAGCCTCATCACCCAACTGACTACTACAACCACTGTAGTCACAACCTCATCACCCACTGACTACTACAACCACTGTAGTCACATCCTCATCACCCAACTGACTACTACAACCACTGTAGTCACAACCTCATCACCCACTGACTACTACAACCACTGTAGTCACAACCTCATCACCCAACTGACTACTACAACTACTGTAGTCACAACCTCATCACCCACTGACTACTACAACCACTGTAGTCACAACCTCATCACCCAACTGACTACTACAACTACTGTAGTCACAACCTCATCACCCACTGACTACTACAACCACTGTAGTCACAACCTCATCACCCAACTGACTACTACAACCACTGTAGTCACAACCTCATCACCCACTGACTACTACAACTACTGTAGTCACAACCTCATCACCCAACTGACTACTACAACCACTGTAGTCACAACCTCATCACCCACTGACTACTACAACTACTGTAGTCACAACCTCATCACCCAACTGACTACTACAACCACTGTAGTCACAACCTCATCACCCACTGACTACTACAACTACTGTAGTCACAACCTCATCACCCAACTGACTACTACAACCACTGTAGTCACAACCTCATCACCCACTGACTACTACAACCACTGTAGTCACAACCTCATCACCCACTGACTACTACAACTACTGTAGTCACAACCTCATCACCCACTGACTACTACAACTACTGTAGTCACAACCTCATCACCCACTGACTACTACAACTACTGTAGTCACAACCTCATCACCCACTGACTACTACAACCACTGTAGTCACAACCTAATCACCCACTGACTACTACAACTACTGTAGTCACAACCTCCTCACCCACTGACTACTACAACCACTGTAGTCACAGCCTCATCACCCACTGACTACTACAACTATTGTAGTCACAACCTCATCACCCACTGACTACTACAACCACTGTAGTCACAGCCTCATCACCCACTGACTACTACAACTATTGTAGTCACAGCCTCATCACCCACTGACTACTACAACTATTGTAGTCACAACCTCATCACCCACTGACTACTACAACCACTGTAGTCACACCCTCATCACCCACTGACTACTACAACCACTGTAGTCACACCCTCATCACCCACTGACTACTACAACCACTGTAGTCACAACCTCATCACCCACTGGCTATTACAACCACTGTAGTCACAACCTCATCACCCACTGACTACAACCACTGTCGTCACAACTTCACCCACTGACTACAACCACTGTAGTCACAACCTAATCACCCACTGACTACAACCACTGTAGTCACAACCTCATCACCCACTGACTACAACCACTGCAGTCACAACCTCATCACCCACTACTACAACCACTGTAGTCAGAACCTCATCACCCACTGACTACTACAACTATTGTAGTCAGAACCTCATCACCCACTGACTACTACAACCACTGTAGTCACAACCTCATCACCCACTGACTACTACAATCACTGTAGTCACAACCTCATCACCCACTGACTACTACAACCACTGTAGTCACAACCTCATCACCCACTGACTACTACAATCACTGTAGTCACAACCTCATCACCCACTGACTACTACAATCACTGTAGTCACAACCTCATCACCCACTGACTACTGCTACCACTGTAGTCACAACCTGAACAACCACTGACTACAACCACTGTAGTCACAACCTCATCACCCACTGACTACTACAATCACTGTAGTCACAACCTCATCACCCACTGACTACTACAACCACTGTAGTCACAACCTCATCACCCACTGACTACTACAACCACTGTAGTCACAACCTCATCACCCACTGACTACTACAACCACTGTAGTCACAACCTCAACAGCCACTTTAGCCACAACCTCATCACCCACTGACTACTACAATCACTGTAGTCACAACCTCATCACCCACTGACTACTACTACCACTGTAGTCACAACCTCAACAGCCACTGACTACTACGGCCACTGTAGTCACAACCTCAACAACCACTGACTTCAATCACTATAGTCACAACCTTAATCAACCGCTGTAGTCAGAACCTCAAGAACCACTGTAGTCACAACCTCACCAACCACTGTAGTCACTTCAACAACCACTGTAGTCACAACCTCATCACCCACTGACTACTACTACCACTGTAGTCACAACCTCACCAACCACTGACTACAACCACTGTAGTCACAACCTCAACAGCCACTGACTACTACGGCCACTAGTCGCAACCTCAACAACCACTGACTTCAATCACTATAGTCACAACCTTAATCAACCGCTGTAGTCAGAACCTCAAGAACCAATGTAGTCACAACCTCACCAACCACTGACTACTACAACAACTACTGCAGTGTTTAACACTTATGATGTCACCAACAATGTTATTACGTCTTCACCAGTTATCACTTTACTGTCTTTCAGTCGTCACAGTTCTCTCCAGGTATTTTTCCACACTCGCGCCACAGCCCCACACAACTACAAACCTCTCACCTTAATACCTCATCTCAACTTTGCGGATAAACTATCTCAGTGTTTGACCCTTGCTGTATCCATGACGGTACCACAGATACTGTCCACGATGCTCTCATCTTACCCTCGTTCTTTTCTAGTCTTTGACCCCTCCTGTAGCCATAACACTAGCACAGACGCTATCCATGATGCTCTCATCTTACTCCCGTTCTTGTCCTGTCTTTGACCCCTCCTGTAGCCATAACACTAGCACAGACACTGGCCATGATGCTCTCATCTTACCCTCGTTCTTGTCCTGTCTTTGACCCCTCCTGTAGCCATAACACTAGCACAGACACCGTCCATGATGCTCTCATCTTACCCTCGTTCTTGTCCTAGTCTTTGACCCCCTCCTGTAGCCATAACACTAGCACAGACACCGTCCATGATGCTCTCATCTTAAGCTCGTTCTTGTCCTGTCTTTGACCCCTCCTGTAGCCATAACACTAGCACAGACACCGTCCATGATGCTCTCATCTTACTCCCGTTCTTGTCCTGTCTTTGACCCCTCCTGTAGCCATAACACTAGCACAGACACCGTCCATGATGCTCTCATCTTACCCTCGTTCTTGTCCTGTCTTTGACCCCTCCTGTAGCCATAACACTAGCACAGACACCGTCCATGATGCTCTCATCTTACTCCCGTTCTTGTCCTGTCTTTGACCCCTCCTGTAGCCATAACACTAGCACAGACACCGTCCATGATGCTCTCATCTTACTCCCGTTTTTGCCATAACATCCCTGGATACAACGAGTCAGTTTTGCCCTCATAGATCCATCTCAAGAAGTAGTTAAATTTCTCTCCTTGGCAGCTGTTAGTGTCTCCACTCCCACTACTCCTCTCCTCTCACCTGTGTTGCACTATCACTGCTTCCCTCACCTTAGAACGTAGGTGACAGGTGCTTTTTTATGCTAGGTGAGCACGGGCAACAAGTACCTGTTGATGCTAGGTGAACACAGACAACAGGTACCTGTTAATGGTAGGTGAACACGGGCAGCAAGTACTTGTTTATGCTAGGTGAACACAGACGACAGGTACCTGTTTATGCTAGGTGAACACAGACGACAGGTACCTGTTTATGCTAGGTGAACACAGACGACAGGTACCTGTTTATGCTAGGTGAATACGGGTAACAGATACCTGCTTACGCTAGGTAAACAAGCAACAGGTGCAAAGAGAATTAGCCGTACATATAACTATGTCAGAGAATCGAACCCAGGACCTTTCGGTTGTGCTCCGACAGGCTACTACATCTCTACCTACTCAATAAATAACCTGCTGTAGTAGACTGTAGCTCAGTGGTCACAACAGTGCACAAGCGAAAGGTCCTGGGTTCGATTCCCGGAGAGGGCGAGATTTATCTACTCTGGTAGATGTTAGACTCACCAGGATCAACGATGGGTTTGGCTGCCACGCCCATCACCACCACCACCCACGCCCACAACACCTACGGAGGGTAAATGAATTAAAAAAATCTGACATCATTATTATTGTTGTAATTGTTATTATTGAGATTATTATTAATGTTGCTGTATAGCCCTTGTGGCTTAGCGCTTCTTTTTGATTATAGTAATATTATTGTTAATTATTATTATTATTGGAATTATTATTAATGTTAATATTATTGTAATTATTATTATTATTGGAATTATTATTAATGTTAATATTATTGTAATTATTATTATTATTGGAATTATTATTAATGTTAATATTATTGTAATTATTATTAATAGTGGAATTATTATTAATGTTAATATTATTGTAATTATTATTATTATTGGAATTATTATTAATGTTAATATTATTGTAATTATTATTATTATTGGAATTATTATTAATGTTAATATTATTGTAATTATTATTATTATTGAAATTATTATTAATGTTAATATTATTGTAATATTATTGAAATTATTATTAATGTTAATATTATTGTAATTACTATTATTATTGGAATTATTATTAATGTTAATATTATTGTAATTATTATTATTATTGGAATTATTATTAATGTTAATATTATTGTATTATTATTAATAGTGGAATTATTATTAATGTTAATATTATTGTAATTATTTTATTATTGGAATTATTATTAATGTTAATATTATTGTAATTATTATTATTATTGGAATTATTATTAATGTTAATATTATTGTAATTATTATTAATAGTGGAATTATTATTAATGTTAATATTATTGTAATTATTATTATTATTGGAATTATTATTAATGTTAATATTATTGTATATATTATTATTATTGGAATTATTATTAATGTTAATATTATTGTAATTATTATTAATATGGAATTATTATTAATGTTAATATTATTGTAATTATTATTATTAGAATTATTATTAATATTAATATTATTGTATTTATTATTATTATTGAAATTATTATTAATGTTAATATTATTGTATTTATTATTATTATTGAAATTATTATTAATGTTAATATTATTGTATTTATTATTATTATCGAAATTATTATTAATGTTAATATTATTGTAATTATTATTATTGGAATTATTATTATTGGAATTATTATTAATATTAATATTATTGTATTTATTATTATTATTGAAATTATTATTAATGTTAATATTATTGTATTTATTATTATTATCGAAATTATTATTAATGTTAATATTATTGTAATTACTATTATTATTGGAATTATTATTAATGTTAATATTATTGTAATTATTATTTATTGGAATTATTATTAATGTTAATATTATTGTAATTATTAATATTATTGGAATTATTATTAATGTTAATATTATTGTAATTATTATTAATTGGAATTATGTTAATGTTAATATTTTGTAATTATTAATATTATTGGAATTACTATTAATGTTAATATTATTGGAATTATTATTAATGTTAATATTATTGTAATATTATTGAAATTATCTTAGGTTAATATTATTGTAAATTATTATTAGTTGTATTTTTTTTTCAGTGATATTTTAATTGTAATTATTATATCACTTTGTGTTATGTCATTATTATTATCGTTATAATGATTATTATTACTGATATTATATTATATTATATTATTATTATTACATGGTTATGTATTTTTAAAAATTATTCACATTTTTCAGACATTTTTAAACATCATGCACATTATACCCTGGAGTCACGTCATGAACATCATGCACATTATACCCTGGAGTCACATCATGAACATCATGCACATTATACCCTGGAGTCACATCATGAACATCATGCACATTATACCCTGGAGTCACGTCATGAACATCATGAACATTATACCCTGGAGTCACGTCATGAACATCATGAACATTATACCCTGGAGTCACGTCATGAACATCATGAACATTATACCCTGGAGTCACGTCATGAACATTATACCCTGGAGTCACGTCATGAACATCATGAACATTATACCCTGGAGTCACGTCATGAACATCATGAACATTATACCCTGGAGTCACGTCATGAACATCATGAACATTATACCCTGGAGTCACGTCATGAACATCATGCACATTATACCCTGGAGTCACGTCATGAACACATGCACATTATACCCTGGAGTCACGTCATGAACAATCATGCACATTATACCCTGGAGTCACGTCTGAAATCATGAACTATACCCGGATAGCATAACATTATACCCTGGAGTCACGTCATGAACAACATGAACATTATACCCTGGAGTCACGTCATGAACATCATGAACATTATACCCTGGAGTCACGTCATGAACATCATGAACATTATACCCTGGAGTCACGTCATGAACATCATGAACATTATACCCTGGAGTCACGTCATGAACAATCATGACATTATACCCTGGAGTCACGTCATGAACATCATGCACATTATACCCTGGAGTCACGTCATGAACATCATGCACATTATACCCTGGAGTCACGTCATGAACATCATGCACATTATACCCTGGAGTCACGTCATGAACATCATGCACATTATACCCTGGAGTCACGTCATGAACATCATGAACATTATACCCTGGAGTCACGTCATGAACATCATGACATTATACCCTGGAGTCACGTCATGAACATCATGACACATTATACCCTGGAGTCACGTCATGAAAACATCATGAACATTATACCCTGGAGTCACGTCATGAACATCATGCACATTATACCCTGGAGTCACGTCATGAACATCATGCACATTATACCCTGGAGTCACTCATGAACATCATGCACATTATACCCTGGAGTCACGTCATGAACAACATGCACATTATACCCTGGAGTCACGTCATGAACATCATGCACATTATACCCTGGAGTCACGTCATGAACAACATGCACATTATACCCTGGAGTCACGTTCATGAACAACATACACATTATACCCTGGAGTCACTTCATGAACAACATACACATTATACCCTGGAGTCACTTCATGAACAACATACACATTATACCCTGGAGTCACGTCATGAACATCATACACATTATACCCTGGAGTCACGTCATGAACAACATACACATTATACCCTGGAGTCACTTCATGAACAACATACACATTATACCCTGGAGTCACTTCATGAACAACATACACATTATACCCTGGAGTCACGTCATGAACAACATGACACATTATACCCTGGAGTCACGTCATGAACAATCATGCACATTATACCCTGGAGTCACTCATGAACATCATCACATTATACCCTGGAGTCACGTCATGAACAACATCACATTATACCCTGGAGTCACGTCATGAACATCATGCACATTATACCCTGGAGTCACTCATGAACATCATGCACATTATACCCTGGAGTCACGTCATGAACAACATGCACATTATACCCTGGAGTCACGTCATGAACACATCACATTATACCCTGGAGTCACGTCATGAACATCATGACACATTATACCCTGGAGTCACGTCATGAACATACATGACACATTATACCCTGGAGTCACGTCATGAACATCATGCACATTATACCCTGAGTCACGTCATGAACATCATAGCACATTATACCCTGGAGTCACTTCATGAACATCATGACATTATACCCTGGAGTCACGTCATGAACATCATGCACATTATACCCTGGAGTCACGTCATGAACATCATGCACATTATACCTGGAGTCACGTCATGAACAACATGCACATTATACCCTGGAGTCACGTCATGAACATCATGCACATTATACCCTGGAGTCACGTCATGAACATCATGCACATTATACCCTGGAGTCACGTCATGAACAACATCACATTATACCCTGGAGTCACTCATGAACAATCATGCACATTATACCTGGAGTCACGTCTATGAACAACATGCACATTATACCCTGGAGTCACGTCATGAACAACATGCACATTATACCCTGGAGTCACGTCATGAACATCATGCACATTATACCCTGGAGTCACGTCATGAACATCATGCACATTATACCTGGAGTCACGTCATGAACAACATGCACATTATACCCTGGAGTCACGTCATGAACAACATGACATTATACCCTGGAGTCACGTCATGAACATCATGCACATTATACCCTGGAGTCACGTCATGAACATCATGCACATTATACCCTGGAGTCACGTCATGAACACATGCACATTATACCCTGGAGTCACGTCATGAACATCATGCACATTATACCCTGGAGTCACGTCATGAACAACATGCACATTATACCTGGAGTCACGTCATGAACATCATGCACATTATACCCTGGAGTCACGTCATGAACAATCATGCACATTATACCCTGGAGTCACGTCATGAACATCATGCACATTATACCCTGGAGTCACGTCATGAACATCATGCACATTATACCCTGGAGTCACGTCATGAACATCATGCACATTATACCCTGGAGTCACGTCATGAACATCATGCACATTATACCCTGGAGTCACGTCATGAACATCATGCACATTATACCCTGGAGTCACGTCATGAAAACACTGCACATTATACCCTGGAGTCACGTCATGAACATCATGCACATTATACCCTGGAGTCACGTCATGAACAACATGCACATTATACCCTGGAGTCACGTCATGAACAACATGCACATTATACCCTGGAGTCACGTCATGAACAACATGCACATTATACCCTGGAGTCACGTCATGAACATCATGACATTATACCCTGGAGTCACGTCATGAACACATGCACATTATACCCTGGAGTCACGTCATGAACATCATGCACATTATACCCTGGAGTCACGTCATGAACATCATGCACATTATACCCTGGAGTCACGTCATGAACATCATGCACATTATACCCTGGAGTCACGTCATGAACATCATGCACATTATACCCTGGAGTCACGTCATGAACATCATGCACATTATACCCTGGAGTCACGTCATGAACATCATGCACATTATACCCTGGAGTCACGTCATGAACATC